CATGTTTTTAGACTGTGGGAGGAAGCCGGAGTACCCAGAGAGACGTTCACAGGGAGAACATGCAGCCCGTACTTGGAACCCGTTGCAAGTTTTTAGCCGTATGTAGCTTCCCGTTTTGCTTGTCTAGAGGCTAAAATGCTATTTTGATTTTTAGCAAAGGAGCTCAAACAGTCATGCCACAGATTCTGGCATATTTTGCCACAATTTTCCGCCACACGGTAATTACCAAAAAGAAACCAAAAATGAAAGATTTAAAATTAAGTATTTCTAAAAATGTAGTCTGGTAGACAGGCGTCATATCTTAAAAATGACGCTTTTATTCATTTTACTTTTGCCACCAGAGGGAGCTAGTGCTACATTCTCGTCATGACAACCGCAACAACTACACTTAAACAGTAGAAATATTCATTCCTATGCTTTTTTGTTTGTTATTCGAAAGAAAAGACATTACACTGTAGAGTCTGTGTTTTTAATGTCAGTCTGAGCAACAACAAATGTCGCACAAGTACTAAAAATCAAATGCTGAACACCAGTACTCATAGTACATTATGATAAAATCTATTACAGCCAACAGAAAAAAAAACACCAGCAATCAACGATTGCAGGTGAAGGTCCAACACTACCAGATCATCCGGAGCGATCACATGACAACCAATAACCCATCGGGAAGTAACAGTGCAACAAAAGGAACAAACTAAAACCTTCCCTGTCTGATGATTTCTACTTATATACAAGTTTTTGTTTTCTTTTTTTAATGAAAACTGCAGTGCTGTTTAATGGGATGCATTATGGTCCCTGAATGACAAACATACAGCAGATAGTCATGCACATGCAATCAGGTTTTTCACCGTTTTAAGAAACACCAAACTGTGGGGTTGTTCCTGTTCTACTCCATTCCCAAATGTTTACTCTGAGACGCACAACTCAACGCAGGAAGCTAATCTACAGGCAGCACACTGTCATACACTGCTGAGACTGAATCCAGGCTTTCTTTATGTTGTGTGTCATGGCGGCGCCGTCTTCTCCTGAGGACCAACTAGTGTGTCTCGTGTGCACCGAGAGAACTCTTGTATTTTCCTGTCACTCCTTAACCTGTGGATGAAAGGGGGCAAGTCTTCTTCTGTTTGCCAAAGAGCGCTATCAGAACAAACAGGATACATTCAGACGTATCATGCTAAGGCAGTGTCAGAGCTGGAGGCCTCTTCCTCCAGTCTTTCATGGGCCGTTGTTTACATGACGCATCCTGCAACAGAGGAGCATGACTATTTATGGACACACATCTGTGTCAGTGGTGTGCCTGCGAGACCAAAAAAAAAAAACACTCTTACTAAACATGTTTCTGTTCTCCCGCGGCACAGCCAGTCGGACACGCAAATCAAAGCCTGACAAATTCGACTCGCCTCTTTAAGGAAAAACAAAACATAGCGGAAATCTCCCCGTTCCACAATCATCGTCTTTGTACATAGACCCGCTTTCCAACAAACACTCATGAAGTCAAAGTCCACTTGACTTAAAGCTCAAACTGAGGGTAGACTATTCTGTAGAAAACAAAATACTTTAGTTGTTTTTCTAGATTGTTACCACCGTCTCTGTTTTACTGAAGAACATCCGTGTCTCACTTATTAAGGAGGGGGAAAGAAATGAACGGATTAAAACGGGGAACAAATGACACAGCAGGCAGTTTTAGTCTTTGAGCCGACGCTGCTCCCCGACTCTTCTGAAACTTGAGCTCCCTCAGGGAGGCGGAAAGGAGAGATGGGGATCGTGGGAGCGGTTTTGGTCCAGTTTGAGGAACCCATGCTCCTCTCATGCTCCAGGAGTACCGGCGTGCTGACCCATGAGCGGGTCCCCGCCCTCCTGGACGGGTGTGGTCTCGTGCTCGGCCGTGATCACGATGGTGTTCTCGTCTATGAGCTCACAGGTGGGGTTGGAGAAGGCTGAGAGGGGCAGGGAGATCCTCTGCATCTCACGCTCGTACCGCCGCTGCTCATGCTGCTTCTTCAGGTTTTGACCCCTAAAGAGGAAAACACAGAACACAGTTATGTTATTTGAAAACACACAAAAGAGGAGGAAAATACTGACATGATAAGAATTTAACACGTTCACTGGAGTTTTACATGTTTCATCAGGAAAAGGATAAACTGGTCTCTTTTTTTTTCTTCACAAATAAAAAGAGTGTGCGAGTGTGGCATGCATTTTCATATCTTGAAGAATAACATTCATCAAATCTGTCCAGCTCTCTTTTCCCCGCTGCACAATGTTGCCACCATCGTGTTAAAGGTGAAGGTTGTGTTATAAGGGTGATGTCCAACCTTAGCTGTCAGCCAGTGTTTTGCGTTTAAGACAAAACTTAACTTTGATCTGTTTATCCCACATCTTTGCTTTGTTCTCTATAGGATCTGGGCTGAAGACATGTTTAGACTACCGTTCTTATATTGTAGTTGTTAAATAACGAGCCTTAATCTGCATCGGCATGTTAACGCTTCTCAAAAAAAAAAAAAAAAAAAAAAACACAAAAAGAAAAAGGCCAAAAAATTCTGATTGGTGCAGCTCACGATCTCCTTCAGCCCTCGCTGGTCTTAAAGCTGTTATTTGTTTCAGAAAACTGGAAAAGTGTCAGATTTCCAGTAAACACCAAGGACTGATGAGTGATAGAAAATCTGACTGGGAGAGTTGATCTTTTCCAAAGCAGCAGGGTGGTGAGAAGCTACGCTCAGTGGTTTTCTGCTGTTCTGGATTCAAAACAAACTTTTCAGTGAAAACGCCTCCCGTCAGCCAACCACTTCCAACTTTTGGCCATCACAACACGTCCTTCAACTCCATCCGTCATCGGGGATCTGTTCACTCCTCTGCTTTACGCCAGACTGTTTCCAGAAACTTTCTGAAGCCTGTTGCTTAGCAAACAGCCCACGCCAACTTTGTTCCTGCTATTTTAGTCTTTGTTTGGCAAAACGAGCTGCTAAGCTGAAGCCGCGAATCAAAGCGGGAGCCGTGGGAATGGATTTTCTCAAGTTTTCAATTGAAATTATGAATGGGAGAGAAACGGAAGAATCCTTGTTGACCTCATCAAGAAATTCAAGCTGAGGGGAAGTTTAAATTACGTTACATTGCTCATCGTTTGCGTTTTAAGAGAACAAGCTTTCAAGTCATCATCCTAAACACACCACAGCTGACCTGGGGAAGTAGGGAGTAGAAATATGATTTTGTTTCCGTTTAAGAAAAACAGTGCATTCCCGAATTCTCAGCTGTCGGATATCTAGGAGTTTTTCTAGTAAATAAAGTATAAAGTTTTTTTATCAGCAAGAAAAGTTTAATGATGGCGTGGGAGACAAATCTAAATTTATTACATTAGTAACCACAGTCAGGAAATAATTAACAGCCTGAAACTTAATCTTGGCAGTAAATCTCTAAGCTTGACATGGGCGTTGGGTATCTGGGAGACGCTCTTTCTGGTATGCTGCTTAAAGTGGTGACCAAGCCTATCCGATGCACTTTATACCTTTGTTTAAAAATGTGTTTCACCCACAGTCTACAGCCCGTCCTCATTACTGGGGCTGCAGATGAATCGATGAAACGGGAGATTTCACAGAAAAATGAGCAGGAACCAGCAATCAACGATTCTCAGCTTGATTGGCCTAAAGTTGGGAATTCAACAATCAGATTTTTTTTTTTTTCTTGTGTGAAAGCTCCATATCTGAGCGACGCGAGGATGTCCTAACTACAACTTTTTTTGATAGGGAGACTGTTGATACTTAATGAAAACTCAAAGTTAGCTACTTTTCAGTATCAAAAAAAAAATGCAGAGGGCCGTTTAGAAGGAAATCACATTTGCCACAGCATGTCTGCAGTTCCCTTCAATTGTGAGAGCAAGACTTTGAGCAGATAACAGGAAGGATATGGACAATCCAATGTTTCATCTTAAGGTAGAAAGTCTCTATAGAGAATACACACAGAAACCACTGCTGCCACTGTGCGAGTCGCACAAACATTTAGTTCCAAGGTGCTAAAGAAACCCGTTTTCAAGTGGCTACTCTCTAACACATGACCTGACATCGTCTCTCCTCTAACATTAATTATCCACTAATTAATGTTAGTCAATAACATTAATTACTTAATGAATTCTTCTAGCATTCATTAAGTGATGCCAGAAGAAATTTTATGAATCCTAACCTGTCATCTTCTTATCTTGCAACTCTCACAGAAAGATCAATATCAGCAAATAAAAACTTTGCCAAAATTGGAAAATGGCCACTAAAGTCTACCCAGTACATCTCTAGTTAATATTAGATCCATAGCACCTGCTCATCTATCAAATTCCTGAAGAGCATGACACTGGACACTGAGGACAAGTATTAGGCCTCTGACATAACACGCTTCTCCTCCTTATTAATAATCTCCTCCTAAAATAGACGTCTATGACGAAAGCTCTGCTAATAAGATGAGACAGCCGAGCTCAGATCCGAGAGGGTACTTTGGATTGTTCTGCCGGGACTCTCCGTACCCTCTTTCAGATGATCTGGGCCGTCATATCCCATGTTACATAACTAGAGATGTGAAAGAGGAGGCTTTTCTACCCATTTAACCCCATCGTGCCTGAACCCTTCCCCTCTCACAGAATCAAAGTCTGCTAAGCTGAGCGGTTATATTTTATCAATTGTTGGTCTTAATGGTGCATGTGGAGGATATTTGTTCTAAGCTTTAAAAAAAGGGGTTCGTGTTATCAGCCTGAGGTTTAATTAAACCTCTGCGATTTAGCAAAAAAAGACACTTATAACTTTCTCAACACATGTTTTTATATATATATAAAATGTGTTACTGTGGAGAACAAAATGATTTTTACTTATTTACTGCTGTGAACTCAACTGGCAGATTCTGCTGAACAGCCGATTAAAAGATGAATCAACCTGCTGCTTCAGTGTGTGAGAATCTGTAAATGTGATCTAAGCCGTTGACACTGGTGCTGTTGTGAATCTGATACTCGGTGAGACGGTGTTATTGTTGCACAATGTTTTTGGAGAAATACCAGTGGGGAGTTCGCACATGACTGTGGCACAGGCAGGGGCTGGCAGATTAATGGAAAGCACTGCAGCCTTTGCAGCAACAATGTTTGGCTTTGAGTATAGAAATTAGCGGTGCACCGATTTAGAGGCACAGATTTTGATCATTCTGGGGCTCCAGGTCATGACTGTACATTTGCAGTTAACAGCAGTCACCCCACTGTTGCCAAGTCTGTGACTTTCTTGCAATACGTAGTGACATTTCAGACAAAAAAAACAAAACAAAACAAAACAAAAAAAACAACAAAAAAAACAAGGTATCTTCCAATATCGGAATCGGCAGGTCAGGCTTTTTAAAGATCGGTAATCGGTGTTCAGCCAGAAAACTGCCATCGGTCCACCTCCAATAGAAATTCTTCATAAAAGACACCAGAAGAGTTCTAGTTTATCCCAGTATGTATTTGAATTAGACATACTTCAAACACAAAACCCAAAATGGTATGAAAATGCTAAGTTTTAAATACTAACCTTTTATAAAAGTAGCCAAGCGTGATGCCCACTCCAAGGATGATTATAATTGCCATCATAAGGCTGCCCAGGACCATGCCTACAAAAACAGGAAAGCCCTGAATTTCATGTGCATCACTTAAAACTAAATCAAGCTCCAGATTTGTGTAAATAGCAAGCACACGGGACGTGTATCATGGACTCTTAAGAAGAAAACCGTACCAGTGGTTCCCAGGTCCTTCTTCTGTTTAGGTCCTGTTCTCACTCTCTGGCTGATGCCCATCACTGGCTGCACAGCAGCAACCTCTCTCTGTTTACCCGGCAAGGCTGCCTGCAAGCTCTGCGTGGAGGAAATGATCTCTGTAGGTCTGAGGGACCCGACCTCAGCTGGCGCAGCTGTCGTTTGCTCTAGAAACGGAAGAAATGACACATTTAAACACCTGTCCTAATTCAAAAATGTTAAACACATACAACTGACATTAGTGGCAAATTTATACCATTAATTAGAATTAAAGGCAGATCTCAAGTATCCCTGGCCCAGGATCGATACAATTCTTCTTTTCTATTTTCATGATAGTTCTGCATGCAGTCTGAGTCACTACAGCAAAACAACAGTCTTCATGAATTATGGATACTAACAGAACTCTTCAGATATTGCTAAAATGTTCTGATTTGACGTTCAGAAGGACACTGCTTCTGCTAGAATAATCTCTGCCTCCGTTATTCTTTTATGAAGTGCGTCATCCAGACTGTGTGGTTTCTAATTATCGCCGCTCTGCAAGCATCAGTGCTGACGCAAACCCCCTCCCAAACTGAGCCTCTTCCTGAATTACTGCTCCAACCTACACTGCTGAGAGGACTGTTGGATGCATTTTCTCCTTTTTTTCTAGAAAAAAAAAAAAAAAAGGAGGACCGGAAATAAACATGCTCAACTCTCAGTCAAGAGCAACATAAGATGGGAGTTACAGACTCCAACGTCTGCACACCAAGTCTCTGCTCAGTTTCCTCCCACAGGGTTGTTTACGACTTCAACCAAAGTTAAAAGGCCTGAAGCCATGAACTGAAGCAGCCAATGAGCTGCTGTCTCCAAGAGGAAACGGCTCCTTTGCGCCAATGAGAGCAGCTTTGGGGCTGGGTCAAAGCCGGAACTTTTCCCCCCCTCCATGTGCGCAGCTTTGTTATTGTCCGACTTCTGCTGGTGTCAGCCAGGAGCCAGAAACAAAGGAGAGCATACATGACTTATCGCAACTCCGACCAACTGACCTACCACAGCTCATAGTTTGAAAAGCTGAATGAAACTGAAGGAAAGTTGTCTGATCTTCCACGTCGAGCTAGGGAAGAGTTCACAACTTGACTGAAACTTTTTTTGTGTTGACCTGGAAGACTGTGTGGTGGATAATTCAGAGAAGTCAGAACAGTGATGGATTTGAATAAAGGCAACACGACTCCCCACCCAGGGTGCCAATCCAGCCGTGTCTCGTGGGGTTTACCATCACTAGACATCACTTGTTCTGTCTACAGGAACGGAAGAACTTAGTACAATCTGGCCCTACAACATGACTGACCATGAAGTTAGTATTTGATTCAGTTCCCTGCTTTTAATGTGTTTTTGGGGGGGCATTAGAACCACTTAATATGGGAAACCAGCATAAAAATAATGTATAGACTGATAAATCATTGTTCTACACTTTTTCAAAAACCGCAGTTTTTATTTGTGAAGCCCATTTGCGAAAAAGAAGGTTCTTCATTTCTGTGAAAGAAATTGCCCACAAATGAAAGAATCATTATTGGTACAGTCAGTTTTCAACAAATCCCTTGTCTTTTGAAACTAATCAATACGCTGCACATAACTCAAACACATTAATCATTACTGGGTGCAGCGTTTGCTTACCTTTGCACGTCTCAATTGCACAGAACTGCCTCTGGATTGTTCCATCTGGGGCTGCAATGTAGCACCAGGGCCCCTCAGAGGCGTCCGGGTTTCTGCAGCAATTGTGATCTCCAGCACCTACAGAGCAGCCGACAGAAGCAGCAGAGCTCCGTTACTGATTCTTCGCTGAAAAAAAAACAGGCCCCGTCTCTGTTCCAGTAGATAAACCACTGGATTCACGACTTATTCACAGCACTTCATCACAGCACAGTGAGCAGCCTGCCCCGAGCACAAACAATGGAAACAGCATCTGCTGCATCAAAGAGGCCATTTAACAACACAGACAGACTCCTCTCCGGAGTACAGGCTGTAAATCCATGTAGTTATTGTTCTACACATCAAAATTATTTTGCTTCTATTTATCATCTTTATCAGGCTGACACGTCAACAGATGTTTCGACTTGTTTGTTGCACTGAGGACACTGTTGCAACCATCAACACATGTGACATTTCAAATGAGATCAGAGGCGCTGGACTCAGCAAAACGAGGAGAAATTAGAATCAAAGTGCAGTTTTCATGCAGCTTGAAAGAACACATCAGTGTGTGTTTACCTGTCTGTGAATCTGGGTGGATTTCAACATCATAGTCTCTTGTTGTGTTGATCCAGTTCAGACAAGTCAGACCTGTGGAGGAGCTCTGTTGTTCTCCTCTGTAGTCCAAACCTCTGGATCTCACACAGTCTGAGAAATAAAACACGAGAATAGGGGGGTAAAAACGTGTACAATCAAAACTGTTAGGGCTGTTTTAAAACTCAACAAGGGCGACTCTTAAGCAAATATTATTGCTATTTTAAGTACCTGAACTTAATTCTGTTACCGACACAAAATGACCATAAAAGCACAATAAAAAACAGACCAAAATGAGCAGGTTTACCTCTTTGCCCCCCACTCGGTGTGCTGCCTTCCACGATGGCCGCGCTCAGAAAAACAATGTGCAAAGAAAAAAACATTTTGGAAAGCTGCCGGGCTGAATTCACCAACAACATGATGATTCTTTTTCCCCTTCCTCCTTTTTCTAAAAGTAATAATTTGTAAGAATTGGAGGATCGAAATTGGTGAGGAGCCTATGCATCAGACACACACTGCTCCTCTTCGCTTCAGTCCCAGCCCTTGTTTTTGTCAGAGCAGAAGCTTTCTTTGTAAACATCCTTCAGTGGAGGAGGAAAAGAGGGAGGAGCGCAAATCTCAAGGTCCTAAAGCCGCCTCCTCCTCCTACTCCTCGGTGTTTTCTCTCTCACTCATTAAGAACTTCATCTCCAAACAGTCTGTCATCTCAGCCCTGAGAGAAATAATCAACATTCATTTAGTTCCGTATTTAATCTAACCGTGGAGTTTTGTCTGCCTCCATCTGCATGCTGCATCTAAACGCTTTCCTCTTCCCCATACTCCCCTCTGCAAACCTTACCAGGCCTCCGTCTAAAGTGGGATCTGCAGAGAATAATAAAGCCTAGCTGCTTCTCTGTGTAGCTGGCAATGAAGCCAGCCAACATGTGACTCAGCCAGAGCGAACTAAACCACTGTAAAAAAAAAAAAAAAAAATGTCCATCCAGTTTTCAGGCAATCACCAGAACAAACACACAGCGTCTGTCCTTGTATGCTGCGACACAACTCTCCCGGCAGGACATTTCCTTCACATTCAAACTGCCTCAAGAATAATCTCTGAGATTCTTTATCGGGAGTTGTATTGCCTTCCATTCTTTAAGGGGGTTGAAGCCGTCAACGAAATATAGTCATTATTAACAAAAACGTCACTGGTGGCCGCCATTCTGAACGGACCTGATTATTCTCCCAAAGCTCTTGCGTGGAGTTGCAGTCTCCAGCTGAGTTTCCACCTCACAGAGCACAACTCATCTACTCAGCTCCCTCAGACTAGCTGCAGCCGCAATTAGCAAACACCTGGTACAACTGCGAGTCTGCTGTGCACTCAATCCATTGCGCCCAAGGATGGTCGTAAACAGTGTTGAAAAGAGCGGGAGCTTCTTAAAGAGACAGATGCCCGATTTCAAGACGTCTTTTAAGCCATGTTTGATATACACAGCATTTTTATAACTGAAACTAACATAGTTCCTTGATTGTGCTAGAGAATTATACTATGTGCCATAATACTACTACCCCTTTAATTTAACCCCATTTGAGTCAAATCCTAATGGTACGTTCACACCAAACGCGCTACGTGCATCAAAAACGCACCTGACGCTTCAAGCTCTTTGCTGCGTGCATTTTTGGCGAGTTCACCTCAAATCTCAAACGCGTTTTGAGCGTCAGGAGCGTCTGGTTTACATTCAAAGTCTATTATCTGGAGCGTAGGACGAGTTGGACGGTCAAACGCTCAAAACGGTTCAAATCACGCCGCAGCTAAACGATCGAAACGCGCCGCAACGGCCCTCGACGCGTCTCCATTGGTGTAATGTGCATTTTTAAAAGTCTTAACTGTGACATTTACAAAGCATTGCTTGGAAAACGATGATGGGTAAAAATAAATAAATAAATAAATAAATAATGTCTGCTGATATAAGTTCATCACTAAAGAGTGATCAGATTATCCTTCAGCAAAGTCTATCTTAAAACGTGCACTAGAAAATGATTTAAAATTGAACAAGCTGAGTTTCACAATGGAAATATTTCACAATAACATTTTTATTTACTGGGCACATTGTTAAACCAGTGGAAAAACACTCCTTTCATGCTCCACGTGGCCCACATATGTCTCACTTGTATACACAAATCATTACAGTGGCTGTACCCTCTGCACTTGGCCTTTCTCCCTGCTGTCATAGTTAATCAGTAAAGTAGCAGCTTGCTGATACTCCACATACTCTCAGGTAGGAATGCTTTTACCAGGCCAGATGGTCCCTTTTCCACTTTAAGACAATCTGACTCCACCTTCAGGAAATTAAAATTATTCTGAGAAAAAAAGGTCAGGTTTCAGCAATTAAAAAAAACAACAACTTTTGATTTCATGATTCACACTTAATTATTGTCAATAATTCCAAGATTAAACACATTTTGTTGAATCAAAACTTTATTATAAAATATCATTAGTAATATACTTATATAGTCATAGCTAATTCAGTTTTACAATATAAAACATAAATATTTTATAAGACAATAAGCTGCTAAAAACCAATGCAGGATGCCATTGATGAATTCTTCACCAAAATATTAAATTTTGTCAAAAAAAATAAAAGCCAAGCTCCATTAAGGGGGACGTTACTGCAAACTAGGTGTGGACCTTGAGGAAATCACAGGAAACACCTTGGGTAAGATTTCTGTATGACTCATTAACCCTCGCATATTGTCATAGTTGTTGAATAATCGTGCACTCTTTGATGCAACAGATCTTGCGTGCACTGAGTGCGCCAAGGAAAAAAGGAAAGTGAGAAAAAAAATGGAGATAAAACGCTACATCTTCTGGTTCACAGACAGATTCTGATCCACTTTCCACAGCAACAAAATTTAATTTCTGTGACAAATTCCAACTAAAACAGCTTCAACATTTGTGCTTCTTGAATCCTGGTGGTTGTCAGCGGGCTATCTGATGACGTAAGACTGCTCTGAACGTGTGGCCTGTTATGGGCCAACCACCAGATCTCAATCAGATCCCTCGGAGCCAACTCTCAGCTCTCAGCTCTCAGCTCTCGTGTGGTTTGGAAAATGGACACTTATCCAGTCAGAAGGCCTCTAATGGAAAATTAGACCACACATCACACACCCCCCACTGGCTGCTAAGCAGGCAATATTTCCAGATGCTGTTGCATTACATCACTGCACCCATGTGAGCCTTGCTGCTGTTGCTGCAGAGAGAAGCACAATAACAAGGCAGGGCAAAAATAACCCGGCACTGTTGTTCTGACTGCAGCTCTCCATTGTAACGCCACTGAAACTGAATAAAGCTTCACCCACCCAATTCCCAGAGGGTCTCTTCCCTGCTAGGCAAGGAAAGACACCAACGTAACCCTACCCACTTCGCTCTTACATAAGTTCACGAAGGGCTGGCGTCCGGCGGCATCAGCACCTGCAATCGTCATTTAAGAGTGAGACCGTGTGATGTCCGTTCTTCAAATATCAAAAACTAATTTTGTCCCAGGTCAAACTGGTCCATTCCCCTCTGCTCCCTCACAGTCGTGGCTCTTCCACAGAAACAGCAGCTGTTAAGGCAGGTGTAAAATGAACACCATTCTGAGTGAGAAGAGTGCAAACCGTCTGCAAACGCATCTGCACGCTTAAGGGATCGCAGTGACGCTGAGGACAAGCAGAGGTTTTCAGGAGATGAAGAAGAAAGACAGCTCTGGCGAAGAGGCCCCACAGGGCAAAGTGGAAACGGGGATCCACCAGGAGAGCCAACCAAGAAGGAGTCAATGTTTCAGCTAGGAAAAAAAAAAAGAGATTAAAAAAAAGTTTTACTTTAACACATAAAACAGATAATATTCCAGAGCTCAGCTCTTCTACTTTAATGCTAAATGTATGACAGCACACCTGGCTGGAGCTGTTCACAGTCTGTGAGGTTATCCAGCACCTGGGCAGTGTTCTTCTCTGCCCATGCAGTCAGAGTCTGTGCCAGAGCAGAGGATTGAGAGGATTTCTCAGCCATCTGCAGCAGGTAGGGCAGCAGGTGTGCAGACATGACGGAGGGTTCTGCAAACACATTGGCCTCATCCTGCTCATACAGACTGCAACTCCTGCAACAACACGCTGATGATTAATGCTCAGTTGAACAAATGTATAAATAATGTAGCTATGCTCTGAGAAGTATAACTACACGTCGAATTTTATGCACCATCTGTCAACTTACAACCATAAACCTGAATGTATTTTAATGGAACTTTAGCTGACTGACCAACACAGATTGGTGACTAACTGTGTTATGGGGAAAAAAAAGCTAAATGAATATTTTATATTTTAAGAAAAAAAAAAGAAAAGAAAAATGTATCATGCTTATGTAATCAGCTCAATTTACTTTGAAAGTTCAGAATAAACGTCAGTCCAATCATTTGCACTCAGAATTTTCAGTTAGTAAATTAAATGTTGCAAAGGCTGCTGAGGCAGAGGTCCCATGACAAACTCAAACATAAAACATAAAAGGAACAAGGGAACAACTTGGATCGAGACGTATTTATGTGGTAGAATGGTCTAGTCAAAGCCCAGACAAGTCTAACTGTGGTAAGGTTTAAAAACAGATGTTCACTGATGCTAATCCTCCGATCCAACTGAGCTTGCAAAAAAGACTATGCAAAGAATCCAGCCCCAAGTCCCCAGACACCTACAACTGTAATTGAAATGAAATGTAAATCTCCAACCTTTTTAGAAACTAGGCCACAATTGTGTAATTGAAATATAAATAATACATTATTTTCAATGTCTTTTAACATCAAAAATCCTAAAACGGTGTCATATATTGTATTCAGTGCCATCCTGCGGTGCTCCAGGGTTTAGGGTTATGTTGCAATGTGCGGTCGTAATTTGACAAAGTGTCAAAAAGGTTCAAGGCGCTTGAGTGCTTTTGCAAGGTGCCACGCAGATTCTGTTTAGTAACACACCTTCTTGCTGGCGAGGCTTCTCTCAGCACTGATCTGAGGTCAGCCTGAGGCAGGTGGGACAGCAGCACCTCCAGCGCACCAGGAGTATCCCAGGATTCCTGCAGCAGCAGGTCCAAGAGGAGCAGCAGAGCTTGGTTGATCTGCATGATGCAGACACTCCTCTGGTCATTTCCTCGCCTTGAATGATGCAGCAAAGAGGCAAAACGAGCAGCTTTCTGCCTCACCTCCTGGCTTTGGTCCTGTAGCAGGTACAGGCCTGTGTTGATCAACCTACACAGTTAAAAAAAAAAAAAAAAAAACTACACATAAAATCCTTTTAAAATATTTTAACCAGAATCAGTCATTTAAAGCTATCCGACATGATCAGATTTCCTTCGTACCTCATCATGATGGCAGGGAGAGAGCTGTGGTCTCTGAGGTTGTTGATGAGCGGGAGCCCAGCTGCACAAAGAGCTTCGCTGCACGCTATCCTGAGGACTTCAGGGGCCTCTGGAGCCCGCTGACACTCCAAGATACTGCACCAACGCTGAAGCACAGACGTCTTCAGGCTTATTGGATAAAAATCAAAGTTAGAGGGATTTATGTTAATTTAGGAGTCTAAAATAAGGACTTGACATGTAACACAAAACAAAACAAAACAAAAAAACAGCGTAAAACCTGAAATCTGACACATGGGAAAGCAGCAGGCTAGCAGCATGTAGAGCCTGAGAGAGGTACTCTGGTCCACCTTTCTGGATTTCTAGGTCCTGAAGTAATAAATGCAAACACTCGGACGAACAAGGTTCTGAGTCGGGAAGCGGCTGAGGTAAAGCGGAGCCACCACCGGCCATCACAGAAACCAGAGCTGTGAGGTACGTGGTGCGGTAATCCACGCTGTCGCCCAGCAAAGCCTCCTTCAAGTTTGACTGGAGAAAGAGAAGATTTAAAAATGACCGTCACGTGATCAGGAAGGCAGGTAATCCATCACACAGGTGCTGCTAAACGCGTTACTGGGCGTCATAAACAAACAGTAGGTTATCTCTGGCCCATGACCGCAGGTAGCCAGTGTCACATTTTTTCCATGTCTAAAGAGTCGGGTAAATCCTGAACAGCATGCATGAATCAGAGTCTTTATCTTAACCACCTACATGAACTTTTAACACAAGTAAATACAATCAGTTGTTGGAAGCGGCTCTGTGCCTGACCTGCAACACCCTCTGGATCACTTCTTTCAAGTCGATTTGCTGCCAGTCCTGGCTGTCCAGCAACCATGCGACCAGCGAGAGCCTCAGCTCAGGCGAGGCTGCAGAAAAACTCTCCCAAGTCTGACAAGCCCACTTTGGATCTGCACAGAGGAAGTGAAGGGCTCGCTGGTGGAACGATGACAAGCCAACCTGCAGAGAGCAAAGTTAAAAGAAAAGAACGATTGAAATCTGTCAGACTGTAATTGGTATCCTCATTTTAAAGGTAAAGGCAAAAGGTAAACGTAATTTGATTTTTATATACAGCACATTTTCAGCAACGAGGCAGTTCAAAGTGCTTGCTTGAACGGTGTCAGAAATCTACTCCAGCTCAACAAAACCGTTTTCGAAGTCCTTTGCAAACAACATAAAGCACACACGGTGTCTCATGTACAATTGTCACACACCTGAAGACCCTGCTGAGGCGTGTGAAGGTCATGCATAAGTCTGTCACTGAGCTGCGACAGGAAAGTCTCGCAGGAATATCTTCTCAGGGACCCAGCCACGCTGAGGTACGACGCTCTCACCAGGGGGCAGCACTGAGCCGTGGTCCCCAGCCACATTGAAGAATGGATTCTGTTCACCACTTCACGCAGGTCGTCAGAAAGGACACTACCGACACAAACACGGCAGAGTTTCAAAGTCAGGAAGTTGCTGATGAATATTTAAGCGCCTCCTTCATTCCAGTCCCACCTGTCTGAGCAGAGGGCTCGGTCCAGCAAGGCCTTCATCTGTAGCAGCTGGCCGTGGAGCCGGTTGTGGCTGCAGGACTCCTGCGGACCAGGGAGCTGAGAGGTCAGCTTCAGGAGGAGGTCAAAGTACCCCGAAGGCGGTGTCATGGCAACCAGAGCTTTGGAGACCATTACTCTAACACTATAAATGGGACTGGCAGATAGCTGGAGTAACGGAGGCAGGAAGTCCAGCAACGTTCTGCCAGAGGAAACACATGAGGATATGTACACTCAGTCACATAAACAACGAGCTTAAGAGAGGAGCAGGTGCAGAATAAGATCATTTAACGACTTGGAAAAGAATTCACAGTCGGAAATTATGTGTTATTGATTTGTTGCAATGAATACCAAAGCAACAAAACCTTTCGCTGACTGGAAACTGACCTGTTACTCCTAGTACTTTCCAAATAAAATAAAATGAGGCAGCACTTTTAAAAGCTCACTGCCTAACACATCCCATTTCCAATGTACAAAACTTTACAAAATAAAACCCCTGATTTGCTTCATCTGAACAAAACCCAGGTGGCAAAGCAATACTGATCTTAGATTTAACAAAAAAAAATGAATTTTTATCCTAAATGTCTGAAATCTGAGGGGTTTTTAGCATCTCCTGTCCTGGCAGTTTGGAAAGTTTGGTGTGTGTGCGTGTGTGTGTGTGCGTGTGTGTGTGTGTCAGGGCTGATTTGCTCTACATCAGAGGAGGATGTGGGATCTGCTGCCAAAACTGAACAGAGCAGATGAGTGGCACTGCAAATCACATCTGGTTCTGGTAAAGTCAGGTTTGAAAAACTTAAGTCTGAATATCAGTTTACCTTCAAAGGGTCCAAAATCACTAAAATGCACATCTATTATTTTAGTTTGGGCTAGACAAGACACAAATTTATAGGACTTGATGTCTACATTAACTCCCAAGAAATCAGATAATTGCTGTAAAATCTTGGACTCTGCTCTCAGCAGCTCAGATTTATACTGGCCACGCACTGAACTAGATACAATAAGCAAAGGAACCGATAAGTTTAGAAAATGTGGTTAAAATGAGCAGTTCCTACTACAGAATATCTATTTAACTTGACTGATCAGTCAAAAGGTGTGTAAGCATTACTCTGAGGAGTCTTGGACGCCAGGCTGCAGTTGGGCCAGCAGAGTTAGGATCGGGTAGAGTGAGGGCTGCAGATGCAGCTTGGCCCCGGCGGTTGGCCTCTGGAGCTGCTGCGCCGCCCCTCTCAGCTCGCCCAGGAGGAAAGCTTGAAGCGTAGGGTAGTGAAAGAAGAAGGCAGCAGGGGACATGCTGTGTTGCGTGGGGCCAGCCTCCACGCTGCCGGACCGCTGGCCAAGCATTCGAGAGCAAAGAGAGCCTAGAGGAGCACGGGCGGGTTAATGGACAATTCAGAGCAGAACTCTCATATCGAACAGGCAGCGAATGAGCTTCTGTCTCACTGTAAAGTTGCAGCGCAGCATTCCTCATGGCCCAGCAGGGAGATCGGAGCAGAGTCAGAGACAAGACGGCTACAGCAGGAGCAAACTGAAGAACAGCTGCCCCCAAACCTGAGCCACGCACCAACGCCTGCAGAGTGTGAACCGCACATACCTGTGCACAAAATGACAACGAGGTCATCGCAGTCTGTCCGATTCTTTACGAGCAGCACCAACCAGCCAGCACTTGCAGAGTCAACACACCTGTGGGAGGTCCAGGGTTTGGTCCCAGTTCTCATCGAGGGGACGTCTGGCGGTGTCCAGCAGGGTTTGCACGCTGAGTGCCAACAGCGGCCTTGCCTTGCTGACCTCCTCTGACGAGAGAACGCACAGGATCAGCATGGGCAGCCCTGCTGCCCGTCGGGTCACAGACGTGGAGCCAGCGCACTGAACAACCTGCAGTCCCTGAAATGACATGAGTCTGCACATCAGCAGTTGTCTTTTATTAGTTATAGAGAAAACCAAAATTACTTACATCTCTCAGCATTTGGGCAGGAATATCCTTGAGGTCTGGATCACTGCTGTTCAGCAGAGACGTACAGAACTTTGTGAAGCCTAAACCGCAGCCCTCTACCGCCCCCTGGTGAGAAAAGAAACATCTGCTTACACAGGAAGCCAGCGTAAGTTTTAGGTTTAAATGAAGTGGTTGCTGGACGTTTAAACACAATTATGATTGGCTTGAAGTTCTGAAAACATGTTGAGTTATTCAAACCATGTTTTCTCCAGGATGGAGTTATTTAACAAACAACTAGAGCTACTTTTGACAGGTAAAGCTGGAAAACAATTTTGTTATCAACATAAATCGTTCAATAAATGACGCTAAAAAAAATTGTGAGGAACTTAGTGAAGAACTGAGCAAAAACATTAAGTCTGGAGATTGCAAGACTATTGGTCCAAACAATTGTAAGTACTGATAATCAGCTCAACTGATATTTGGCTTGTGGTGAAACGTTTTACAGTCAGAGAAAACAAACACTGAGCTGGGTTGAATCACAATGTAGGAAGTGAGTTTGGAGGAGTCAAGGCGAGACTCCTAAAACTGGTAACAGTGCACCAGTTGTTACTTATAAATCAGTCAATTTATTCTTAATTAATAAGAAATCCAGATTGGAAACTGTACAGAAACTAAAAAATGGGTAAAAATAAAGAATAAAGGAAAAAAAGAAAACATAAAAAAAGGATCACATCTATTCTCATGCTAGGTTTAAGTCAAACAGTAAAAGTATGTTTTTAACCCAGACTTAAGATCAGTACATTAATGTACCTGTACAATGGGCAATGTGAAAACACATAGAGAAGTAGAAGTAGCGAGTAATTCAGGGCCACTTTAGATGGTCTTAGGAGCCACATGTGACCATCTGAGTCACATGTTAGCTAAAAAAAAAACATGTTAAGGGACAACTTAGTTACAGACATTTAACTAAACATCTCTATATTTGAGTCCATCTCTAAAGTTTTGACCATGTGGGAATTAGAGGAAATTCATCATAAAATCAAAGTTATGCATTCAATTGCTTGTAAAAAGTTGTTTGTTGAATTTAATCACACCGACCTGAAAAAGAACACAAAAAAAAAACAACAGTGCAATAAATTATTCAAACCTTAACATTTTTGACCACCGTCTTGAACTGTGTATTTTGAAAATAACGTACCCAATGGCGGCATTTTAGAAGAATATCCTTAAATATGTCCGACGCCCTCACTAAATCCCGCTTAGTTAGAAGACACTCAGAATGTTTCTTGGATTCTTTCAGGACTTTCTCCACCAACGAACCTAAAAATATTCCCGTTTCCTGGAGCAAAGACGTGGAGAAGAAACACCGGTGAGTTTTCCCGTCCTCTAACAAAGACTGATGCCGAGAAGGGGAGCCTAAACGTCTCACCTTTAGAGAGACCCAGCAGCAGGTGAGAACAAGGCTGTGCTCTTCAGACAGCAGGACACACTCCTCCTCCTCCTCTTCCTCGTCCGTTGGGCCACCTCCAGACTGTTGGGATATCAGAGAGCTGATGGCGTTTCCCATGTCACAAAAGGACGGGGGAGCATCTAAGAAACAGAAAGCAATTCAGTTTCCAATGTTAAAATAAAAAAAATGTATCTAAAATGAGATTTCACCGTTAGTCAAGATGGCTTGATTACATGTTTCAGAGACACGAGCCTCGCGATCTCCATGCAGAACCGCAAGCAGCAGCAGAGAAATATTCTCCAGCAGATCCAACAATTTGGTCATCAGACTGCGGTCAAGTGTGGCATAGATATCATCAGCTGCTTCAAGCAAACACCTCTGAAGAGCACACAACACTCCTGAAACATTTAAAAAAAAAAAAAAAAAGGGGGATTCAGGGGACCCATATAAAGAAAAAAAAAAGATTTCCCATCATCATCGATGCGAATGAATGTGAGTCACCGTGAATAGGCTTGGTTCTGGCAGAGAGCATCATGTCTGCTTTGGCTGTCAGATGATGCTCCTCCAGCTCTGTCAGCAGGACTCTGACCACACACAGGTTCCTTCCAGCGTTGGCAGCACAGCTCAGGCTGCACCGATGTCCTGATCTACATGGAGAACAGCCGATATTGTCGTCGCCCGAACATACCAACGTTGCACGTGGGATAACGTTCACACCTCTGAAATGTGTCCACGTTTTGTTCCGCTACAACCACAGGCGTCAGGGTTTATTACTGATGTAAATTATGCACAAAGCTGTGCGCAACAGAGATGCGCAGCGACGGATGGTTTCAATTATGCTCCAAATTGTACTCGTCTTCCACATAAAATCCTCAAATTTCAACATTTGTTGTTGCGAAGGAAAAAAAACAAAAAAACAAACAAACCTAAAGGCATGCAAATAATTTTACAAGTTGAGGGCACAAAGAGGAGGTGAGACTTACTTTTGGAGGAGCATCTTCATCATGAGCGCTCCCATCTGAGCCTCCTGCACCCGCGGGCTGCGCAGAAGCTGCATGCTCCTCGTCTCCAGGACTTCCGCGATGTCAGCAGGGAAAGTGGGAGGGAAAAATCTCAACAACAAGCCGGCCGAGAGCTCCCGGATCTAAAGGAACGAACAGCTCTTGCGTTACATTTCAGCCAGTTTAGACAAAGCGAAACCCCTAACTCCACTCAGAGAGCCATACCTCATTTGTAGAATCCTCTAGACAACTGATAAGAAGCAGCTGCTTGGTTCTGCAGAAGAAATCCCACTGTCCTCTCTGTCTGGCACAGTCAATGAGAAGTCCTACGTTTGCTGTAATTATAACCGGTTTCATCATTAAGGAGATTGGAGGATGCAGAGATCCAATGCTCAGGTGAGCCACACTTATCTTTTTTTTCTATAAAACAATGCATTCACGTCACTGTGGTTTTTTTCAATACACAAGATCCTGTTAAGAAACACTGAAGTTTGTGTTTGCAACGTAGCCAAACATTTGGTTCCATGGGTACGAATACTTCATTGCGCTTGAGTAAAAACATCTGTTGCTCCGTGTTGTTTTCTAATGTCTCACCCGGTGGCTGTCCCTTCTTTTTGTCGGGGCTCCAGGTGTCTGTGCACGTCTCCAGGACTGCAGACAACAACAACAGCGCCGTCTTCTTCCTCTGATAGCTGTGTCCAGGTGACAGAGAGCCGTATGGAAGCTCACCTAACCACTCCACAAAGCCTACGTGACATAAAGAACATCTTTTCTGAACAGAGAATATAAAACTGAAAAATCCCGAGAAAAAAAGCAGACAAAAGTTCGGAGCAAAACGTTCGTCATCTCTTTTTTTTTTTTTCCTCCTCACCAATCCCTTGCTCCAGAACATCCTTTCTGCTTTCATGGCTGACATCTTCTTTCTTTTTGCCCTTGACTCCTCTGACGTGTGCCAAGGTGCCGTCTCTGACACGAACCAGAAACCTTCTCACCGCAGCCTGAAGGTGCTGCCGAAAAGGTGAGGACTCGCAATTCAGATTCTGGGGGACAAACTCCTTCAGTATCGTGATCTCCTCTGCAGAGGGGACGTCTCTGGTCTTCGGGCTGCAGCAGAGCAGGTTGAGGGCAGCCAGGCGCACTTTGTCGTCTGCAGACCCGAGAGCCAGCTGCAGGGTTTTAAAGGTGGAGCTGCCCTGCAGAGCCCAGGGAGAACAGCCGCTGATGGCTCGGTAGGAGCTCAGGAGGCACGCCCAGGCGCGCAGGTGGCCTGGCTCGTGGGGCTCCAGGGAGGCCAGCAGGTGATGCACGGCCGAGGGGAAAACCTGGAGGGTGCAGGGCAGTAAATGTGTTGAGGCGTTGGTCTGTAGGAGAGTCACTTCAGACGTCAGCGCCTCCAGGAGGAGAGGCTGCCAGCTGTCCGCCCAGCGCCCGGCCAGATCCACTTCAGCGAGTGAGGCAGGAAGCTCTCGCCTCTGCTGCTGGATCAGACGCTTGTAAAACTCTGAGCCGCACGGGGACAGATGATTGGTCGATAGGCACTTCAGGAGATGGCGAGATACCTCAGTGTATTGATCCAGCACCTACAGAGACACAGCCAAACATCTGGGCCACAGAAAGTAAAAGTAACAACGTTGTAAAGAATGTGACAGCTATGACATGCTCACCAGCTCGGCTCCCACATGAGGCAGCAGAGCGCAAAGGCGGTGGTATTTGGCTTTGGCCTCCCAGGGCAGTTTCAATAATCGTTCAAGCAGGGTGAAATAAAAAGCCTTGCTGGTGTCACAAAACTGCTCAGAGTCCAAGGCGTAAAGGTTCAGCAAGAGAGTAAAGGCGCTGCTCGCAAACTCAGGCACCCCTTCCACCTGCCGAAACAGAAACACACACACACACACACACACACACACACACACACACACACACACAAAACATTTAAATTGTAATCAATATCAGTTATTGTTAATATCACAAGATTATTTTCAATGCGGTGAAGTTCCTACCAGCACACAGTGGAAACGAGAAACAAATGCACCTCTAATAAAAAAAAAAGCATTCAATAACTTAGCCAGAAAGCCTAATGTGCAACCAAATGGCAATCACCGTGTGTTCCTTCTGAGTATAAGTCAACGTCAGTGACTCACTGGGCTTTCTGCACCGGTCCAGATAATGTGTGTAAGCCGCTGCAGCAGCCTGCTGTCGTCGGGCAGGAGGCGGGAGCCGGTCATCCTCCACAGATCCGTCACGCATTCCTTCGCTCTCCTCAGCCACATTGTTAACACTGCGATGGGATTTTGGGCTTTTAGCACAAAGCAGAGCCAGTCAAAGAGACAAACAAGCAGTTTGGAGTTCGCTCACCCTCAAAGGCAAAGTAGTGACAGTCCTGCTTCTCCTCACACAGTGCATAAACAAGAGGAAACAAACCGTCCAGCAGCAAACAGGCCTGAGAAACAAGATAACACGGATTCAATATGATGAAAAATCCCGACGTGTGCTCCCACACAAGCGTTCCCTACCTGTGTGGTGTCGTGGCTCGGACTAAGTAAGACGTGAGGTCGACAGCAGGTGAGGAGGCCTCTGCTCACAGCCAGCCGGTCCACTCTGTCCTTCCCTACGTGGTCACATGTCACCTGCAGGACCCCCACGGTCAGCTGGCAGGGCTCTGAGAGGCAGCACAAAGAAAATGTCTCCGGTCAGAAAACTCCTGACTTCACAGAGTCTGGAGTAAAAATGATTTGATCCTGCAAAGATTAAATCTGTTCATGCATAAACTCATGAGAAACATCATGATGCTGTTGTTATATTTGGTTTGTGTTACCATTTGAGGCTTCTGTTTATAATTCTTTATTAATTATATCATCATTACCATAATGTCCTGGATATAAGAAAAAAAAAGTACCCTTGGCTTTACAAACAATTTACTTTTTCCACTTGAAGTAACTTTTTAGTGCCTGTAAAACAACCTTTTTTTGTTGAGTAGAACAATACGTTTCAAGTTTCCTGGTTTTCCAATGAGAAACTCTATGTCTGAACTTCTCTAGTTCCAAATCTTAAACAGATCCCTGGTGGACCTACATTTGTGTGCACCCAAATATTTGCTTGCAGATCAACTAACAGTCTTCACAGGAGAAAATCAGCTGCCCAACGCTGAGGCTGCAGATAACCCGCAGACTGCAGCACTCTCATTCAACTCTGCATTCTTGCTTTGAGGTCCCACTCCAAATAAAATCTGTAACTGTTCCAAAATAACTTTTTCTTTTTATCTGAACAAAGAGCATGCAATCTCAACGGGAAGCAATTATCTTGCTCTACCGTCATTTTTGGACACGAAACACATTTTCCTTGCATATCATCTTAAGCGGGTCAAATTTGTGCCCCTATGAGGAAACGCTGAGCTTCTTGGAGCCTGTCTTTTTCACATTAAACATTCTCGTCTCTGCCTGGATGTGTTGGAAGTGCTGGCTCTCAATTGAGATCTAAGCTACAGATTATATTTAAATCAACGGGATTTACTTAAAAATAAAAATACCTTCAGTGATCTTAACATAAGATAATCCTTAATCAGCACAATCAGACAACAGTATTCTCTACAGTTCTTTATGTCTTCCAGCCAACCCAACTTTACTAATCAAGACTATAAGGAAAAAGATAAGAAACTTGTGATGACATTAGAAGTAAAACTGAATAAAATAATTACAAAACTTTTAGCCAGAATTATACAAAACTGAAAAATGGAAAACCAATAAAGTCCAAAGTAAAATTGATCACTGAGCGAGAGACGTGAATTTTAAGATTCAAAAAAAGGCAAATGAAGAAGCCTTAATAATTTGAACTAAAACCAGTACCGGTTTTCATTTTCTGCTCCTAATTGTTCCCATAATTTATTATGTTCAAATACCACCATATGACAGACTGAAAGGGTATGATGATGCTGCTGCAGGTGTTACGTACGTGGATGAGAGGCCTGCAGCAGATTCCAGGCTGCAGCTCCAGCAGCTGTACTCTCGGATGCGGTGTTGATCAGCATCGCCACCGCTGTGCCCGCCAAAAGACGCGTGTCCCTGTTGCAGCACTGCACGACAGGTCACATAAGCAACTTTTTCAACACTTGTTTGTCGCGTAGAAGTCGATAAATTTGCTTCGAAAGAAAAGACACCTGTCCAAGTATGTCTATAAGAGCCTGCAGAATCCTCTGCACTGCTTCTTTGCTGTGGTTTTCCTCCCACACCAGAGGAGCAACTTCGTTGGGCAACAGCTGAAACGCTTGAAGACACACCTGCAGCCATGAATGTTCACATGTTAGAAATAAAGTTAAGGTTGTTTTATAATGGCTGTTCTTGGTTAGTATTCCTGATGCATGTTTCATTTGTACCTTGACAGAAACATAACAGATAGGCCCATCTCTCCGAGATTCCTCCTGTAGCACAGCAGGAAGAGATTCAGATACTCTCTGCAGCATTGGCACGAAGGACTCTTGCCAAACCTCTCGACCAACTATGCTGTCCTCCAGGTACATGCATGCTAAAATTATGGAGAAATAATTACAAGTCTACACATTACATCTGTGACATACTAAAAATAATGTAAGCATCAGTGAACCCACCTCTCTGCAAATCCTCCAAAGAGAGAACCTGGTAAGAAGACAAAGTCAAATCATTTCCAAGACCGACAGCGAAGTGATCATTCACATTTTGTCACATTACAGCCAAGTTTTTTTTAATTTTTTTTTTATTGGTATTTTATGCAACATATCAACAAAAAGACACGCATAATTTTAAAGAGGAAATGAAGTAACACTTGGTTTTCAGACAATTTATTTTATTTTTTAATTTTTTTTTTTTTTAGATTTATTTCATCTTTATTTTACTAAGATAAAAATCTACCAAGATTAAAAACCTGTTTTTCAAGGGAATCCAGGCCAAGATGCATCGACAGTTCAAGAGGTACAACAAAAGTATGAATGCAAAGGGTATGATTGCAAAAGGTAACCAAACACACAAAGTAAGGTCTCTGTACCTGATCACTATGGACTATGGCATGAAAACTGTGGAGGGTCTCCTTATAAACCAGTTTGTGGTCCACCTTTGCTGCCAAATGCTGCAGCATCTGTGAAGCAGAAGTTTTCATTACATCACTGTTCTTCCACATCATTTTACAGTGAAAAAGAAATCTGTGGAGCTCACCTGGTCCACCTTACGACAGGCTGTGGAGATGCTGACCATCTCCAGCTGCAGGGATAAGAGGAGTCTGACCAGAAGCAGGAGATGCTCTTCCTCCAAACCACGGAGCTGTGCCTCTGGGATCTGCCTCAGCAGCTGGGCTGCCTCCTCCAAACTGCGCTCCTTGCTCCTCTTAACGCTGCTCCTGTCCGTGCAAACAAATTGCCTTTTTTATTACAAAACCGACGGCGGATGTGCACTTTAAAAATAGCTTAACACACCTGGAGGATTCAGACAGTTTATCGACAAACAGCTGGAGGGTCTGGCAGCCATTTTCAGGTGTTGAATCTTCAGTGATGAAGCAGTCCTGAAGACTTTTTATCAGGTTTTCAAACGACATTGTAACTTTTACTCCTGAATGCAGATACCCGGTGTTGACATATCACTGAAAGCACGTTTCTGTTTACTGCTGAAAGACTTCTACTTCTACGAATTAGTGGTGATCACGGTAGCGATATGCTGCCATCTAGGGGCTAAAACTTGTGTGAACTAACGTGACTGAGATAAAAACAGAAACAGTTAATTGTATGTAACTTTATGGCCTAATAAATTACCAGTAACGTTAAATAGATCATTTTCTGATATTCTGCATCGAATATCCACCGTTAGGAACTTTTATTATTACCAAATTTATTAACATTGCTCTGCTGTGTATTTTGTTGCTGATTACAAGTACTAAAACAATCTCTTTTTCTCTTCTGTAGTGTGTGGCTTCCAGCAAATTCTGGTCTGACATTATATTTAAAGTTTCAGCTGAAAACAACAATGGGTCGATAGTAACTTTTTAAAATAGAATTTTTTTAAAAAACATTCACAATTATTAAATAAGGTCAAAAGCATTTATCAGCATTTATTGCATTGCAAGGTGCTTTCAGTATAAAAGGACTGAAACATGAGAGGCGATTCTGCAATTTTCTTCCTGCAGAATTATGGACATTATGCAACTACTGCAGAATACAAGGTTTACAATGTCTGAAACATGGTAAGAAAATCAAGAGTAAAATGTAATAAATATTTAAATTTAGGTTTAACCACGAAGAGGTCTGTGCCAATATATTTAAATATTCTAACATACATAGAGTATTCTGCAGAAGGTCTAATGTGAGGTCTGCAAAAGAAATAAAAAACTACATAGCAACTATTTTTTGTTGTTTTTATGGGTTTTTGTATATTTCCAACAGTTACTCCACATTAGAAATCTTTAAGTGATTCAGTGTGATTAGCTTTGGAAATAATCTAACTCAATAGAATGTAAATAGATGGTAGAGTTTCTGACCCATTAAACAGCTGATGGTCAAGACAGACTGATGACATTATAATGATTAAGAGCACCTTCATGTCATAATCCTTACACTAAGTTAGATTACTTCATGTGCTAGATGAAGGCTAATTTTATACATTGTGTACGATGTTAGAATAACTGTGTTACAATTTTTGAAAATGTTTATATCCATTAGGAAGCTAGAAATCATTTGGGAAATTTCCCAGTAGACTCATGACACTAATTTGAGCGGATGAGGTCGCTGTTGTGTACTTTACTCACAGCTTAGATTTGTGTTTTCTCAGAAGAAGAAGGCTTCTCGGCCGTGATTGGTTAACATTTTGTTGCTAGGACACCTCACAGAGTTTACAAATGTCCAATCTATAATAGCGAAATGGCTAATGTCGGTGTACTTTCTGCGTCTATTTCAGGCCGGACTTCATTTATCTTATTCCTCGTCAGTTTTGTCCACCCTCAAAACGCTGTGGGTAAGATCTTTCTACGTAATTCGCCTCAAAGTTATCGTTTTGAAGTTAAAAGTGCTCTACGTTTCGTACAGGAACTAGCTAAAACTCATTTTATGTATCTTACACAGATGGCTGGAACTGTAACTAAGCAGTAATTGTGTTTTTCATTCATAGTTTTTCAGCCGTCGTTTCTTATCTCCAACGGACCAAAAGTCTCTGCATTTCTGCTCGGAAACACATCAGGGATCTCACTGAATCTGAAGACGGTTTCTGTTTCCAGCACAACAGGTAGGAAAAAAAGACAAAACACCCTACAAAACATTTACTAGTTGTTAATGGAATAGTTTAGTTTCCAGTTTAGCTCGACCAAAAAAATAATAAAAAAAATACAGATTTTTTGCAGTGCCTTGTTACTGTAAATATTCATATATCCTTTTAACTTTACAATCATGTACCATAAAGTATTTTTTATTGGAATTTATTGTGATTGACCAATATATCGTAACCCATAATTATGAAGAGAAAGGAAAATGACATTAGATGTCTATTCTCATAGAATAACCTACTTTTATCTACATCACACCATTGCATTGTAGGTTCACTGTCCTGCAGTAAAGTGAACATGTTTCTTGGTGTCGAGTCTTCTGGAGTTCCTCTTTTAAGATTGCTCTAAATTTAACTCCGTCCTTCTTCCCATGAACAGTGACTAGATATCACTGTGAAGAAAAGCCTCCAAGCAACATGAATTGTAACAACAGTTGTTTTCTTTCACAGGAAGCACTGGTTCACCATCATGTGTAACAGAAGCAACACGGTGGGCACTCAAAACTGAGCAAATGGGAAAGGTAAGAAATCCGTCAACTTTACTCAACCACTGTCCATATAGACAAAACAACTTATAAAATTCACCTCTTGTTTATGCTGATGTCAATTTAATTCTGCTTCCCAGAGTGCAATTCGTGTTCAGCTGACACTGAATCAAAGCCTGCATTTGTGTGGTGAGAACGAAACGAGTGCCGACTGCTGTCCGAAACCACAGTGTGTTCTGGAAACTCTTCAGGTGTCCGCCTGCCTTGGAAGCAGACCCCAGGCGTCATTGCTGATCCAAGCCACCATAAACGCCCGGTTGTTTCCTCTTCATGCAGGATCTGGTGGTTTGAATTAAGCCTTTCTCACCACAATGTGAAATGAGAGCTTTAAAAGCAGCTTGTTTTATAAAAGTCATCTGTTCATTTCAGATAACAACACAGTATTTCCAAACCAAGTGTACCAACCTCTTGGCGTTTGTCCCTGTGACCTGACATCCAGAGCATGTGATGTGCGCTGCTGTTGTGACCAGGTATCAGTTTTTATTATAGTAATTTGACAAACACAATTAGCCAAATGTGGTTTTTTTTCTCTTTTAAACCTTCTTATTTGTGTTTTCTACCAGGACTGTTCCAATGAAGATCTAAAGATTTTTGCGTCCCACTGTCTGCTGGGACCCTTCGGGGGACAGGTCTCCCCTGCTCCAGATTTTCAGTGCTCTGTGCGTTCTGCTGAAAACTCTCCAGACTGGTTTCCATTTTTATGTGTCACATCTCCACCTGAAAACAACCCCTACTTGGGTCTCTTCTATCAAGGAGACACAATGTGAGAATATTTTTCATCAAAGTTTTTTTTTGGGTTTTTTATTTTATTCAGTAATTTTTGTGCTACATTTTTTCCACTCTCCTGGTGTAGTGCAGCCAGGCCGGGCCCATCCTTCCAAGAGCCTGTGCTGTCTGCTCCAATGCCATTTACTCCTTATATTCAGGGAAGTCCTGTTGTCACATCCGACGACAAGTACTTCACTATACCTCAGGTTGGTTGTATTAGTGTTACCTTTTGTTTTTATTTTTTGTAGCAATCTTAGTTGCATTCTTTTATTTCTTTTTTCCTTGTCAGGCTTACAACTAATAACACTTTATATGCGGTTTTGTTTTTCAGATGGTCCTGGGACGGTGCTCTGGTGCTCCTGTGGCCTTTCTGGAAAATTTCAAAGTAGAGTGTGTAACTCTTTTTCACTCCTGCCCGACTAGTCCTCCCTTAAAAACGCTGCAAAAAGATTTGAGCGTTGACGTGCTGAATGGGCAAGGCGGTGGGTCTTACCTGCTTACATAATTAAATCAATGTTTTGATGTGCTTTGACACTTTTGAGCGCAAGTATGTGTGTGTGTGTTTTTTTTGTTTTTTTTTACCAGGCGTTGTGAAGGTAAACTTAACTGATGACAAGTCCCCTGATTTGTTCCTTTCAAGTGGTCAAGGTGATTTTTTTTTATACATGTAGACTTTAATCACTAAAACAAATAAACTGGCTCTGTCTAACATCTAACTTAAAATGGGTGTGCATTTATCTCCAGGTGAGAGGTTGAGGTGTGAGACTGTGACCTTAGCGCTAGATTACAAATTCTACTGGAAAGAAAATGGTATCACCAATATCTCACTGACTCGCACTGTTGGGACAGTTATCTCGAATGGAAGTTGTAAGTCTTGTGAAACTCTTTAATTTTCAAAGCTAAAGTCTTGTTGTGTGGGGCTGACATATTCTGCTGTTCTGTCCTCTAAACAGTGACTACAAGATATTCTGTTGTGTTTCTAAATGGAGAATCTACAGCCGAGCCCAACTCAGGAAACCCAGGTGAGAGAATTATTTTTTTTTTTTTTCCCCAGTTGTTGAGGTTGCTACTCTTACGGAGGATAACACCAATTTCACGTGACAGGTTATCAAGTGGGACGACCTGTTATTGCTGGCATTCTGGTCAATAATACAGAGTTAATACAGAGGACACCGATCAATGTTTGGAAACCAGGTAAAAATCTCTGTAGTAACTGTGTTAATTAATGTTTATTAACACACATTTCAAACCTTATACTTTATCCTCTCTGTTTTCTGATCTGGTTGATAGTGGGTGATGGTCTCTGTTCCACTGACAGCATGAAGCCAGTTGTGTTTTGGGAGAATTCAACTTCAGGTTGCTTGCTGCCTGTCGGGAAGGAAAACATGAGCGAGTGTGATCTCCTGAGGTTGGCTGCTCACCATGATCCTTTACCTTTAGTTGATGTGTAACTACAGAGCCTTGCAAAAGTATGCATGCCACTTGGACTCTCCCACATTTTGTCACTTTACGAACACAACCTATCATTTATAGGCATTTCAAGAATGTGACAGAAATGTTAAACCCTTCAAAGGGTAGGAATACTTTTCTAAGGAGCTCTGTGAAATACATACCTGTTAGAGCAACTGATGTCATGTTTTTTTCATGTTTTAGAGAGACTGTTGCTGCTCTGCAGAGTGCTCTGACCACAGCGGCGTATGTAGCACAGCGTGGTAACCCAGATTTTACAACTATGACAGACTGGCTAAACATAAGCTGTAAGTAGATTTAATAGAGAAGCAAATTCTTCTTCTAAATCAACTCATAAGTTATTTAGCTTCCACCTACATTTGCCTTGTTGTTTTGTGCCAGATAGATGTTCTAACAAATGATTTATTACACAAATCTAATGCAGTTGTGACGCCAAACTCAAGCACAGCGATGAACAACTATTCAGGTGTGTGCAGTGATATTCCATTTCACCAACGCATCAGTGTTTGGAGCCTCACTACCAGCCTGGTAGATGGAATACCCCAAAGAGAAATCCAAGCTTTAGAAATCAGGTATTAGATAATTAACTACAGCAATGCAGCTTGCT